TGGCACCAGGCGCGCCTGACACGCTCGGGCCCCAGGGGTGCCTGGCGCGCGTGGCGCTCCTAGCACACGTGGCACACCTCGCCCAAGCGTCTCGCACCTGGGGTCGGCTTTGGTTCCCAGCAGCTGTCCATCCAAAGACGACCGCTGGACATGCTCAGGCTCGGGTGTTACTTATGTCTTGCGGGGGCAGTTGGGAGTGAGCTAAACGGCTTGCGGGCAGGTGGGCAGCTTGATCACTGTTCCTCCTCCCCCAGGCGACCGGCGTTCAACCAGCAACCATGAGGACACCAGGACGACCCGCCCCCCACCATCCCTGTCAAAAAAACAATGCGAGACGCACTCTGGCTCCACATTTGGAGCATGCGCTCTACTCGATGCGCCCCCGCCACCATTCCTTTCAAACACCAACACAAAATACACTTTGAGGCAAAGTCATGTGTCCTTTTTTTCGCAAGGCCCGCGAACACTTTGTATTATTTTTGACAGTGGCGGCGGGGGTGTCAGCATATTGCCTGCTGCGCGCAGGGCTAGCTAGCATGCACCTCGCGGCTAAATCTGGATCATGCGCGGCCATCCCGCGATCACTATCAAATGGTTTTGAAAGGGACGGCGGGGGTGGTGGCGCGTGGCCTGCAGTGCGCGGGCCCAGCTGACACCAAGAAGGGCATTGGATTTCGACATGGATGGTGGGAGCCGACATGTTTCCCGATGCGTACTGTCCCGTGCGCAGGCGCACCTGACGCACTCTGCACGTGCCCCGAACGTGGCGCACCTGGCGCGGCTGGAGTGTGCGGCACACCTGGCGCACTCGGAGCACCTGGCGCATCTGGCGCACCAGGCGTGCCTGGCACGCTCGGGTCCCAGGGGTGCCTGGCGCGCGTGGCGCTCCTGTCACGCGTGACACACCTCGCCCAAGCGTCGCGCACCTGGGGTCGGCTTTGCTTTCCGATAGTTGTCCATTCAAAAACGACCGCTGAACATGCTCAGGCTCGGGTGTTACTTATGTGTCGGGAGGGCGGGTGGGAGTGAGCTAAACGGCTTGCGGGTGGGTGGGTAGCTTGACCCCTCCCCTTACACCCTCCCATGGACCTGGGAGGGGGGGGAGACGGGCAGCTAGAGCGCCCAAGATGGCCCAATATAGCTCTAAGAGGGCCTCAGAGAGCCCAAAGTGGCCTAAAGCTAGCCGAACATGGTTCCAGATAGCCTCGGACATGCCTCGAAGACGCCTCATGGCGGTCCCAAGACGGTTTCCAGTGCCCTTCGAGTTCTCCAAGGCCCCCCCCAAGGAAAATCAATGGTTTTCGGCTTTTTCCCCTTTTCTCTTCCGATGGCCCCCGGAGGCCTCCAGATGGCCCCAAGAAGGGCCCAAGAGAGCCCCGGCCCAAGAGAGCTCCGAGGAACCCCCAAGAGAACGCCCACGAGGGCTCCAAGAGCAGCCCAACGGAACTCAAAGACTCTTTTTTTTGAGCCCCTGAAGGGGGGGGGCGGGCGGAATTGATGACCCCCCCTCTTTTTTGAGCAGTGGGGGCCAAGAAGGCTCCAAGAAGCCTCCCAGCCCCCGCTGAAGAACCACAAGAGAGCCCCAAGACGCCCCCGAAAACCCCCAGGAGTGCCGCAAAAGGCCCCACGGGAAACCGAAGAGAGAATTTAAGATAGCCGTAGTAATCCTTCAAGAACCATTCGCGCCTTTTCGCTTCCAGTTGGCTTGTGCAACCTCCACATGGCCCCAATATGGCCCACGACAGCCCCAAGAGGGGTCGATGTGGACCCCGAGAGGGCCCAAACAGCGCCCAAGAGCGCCCCAAGAGCGCTCCACAAGGAACCCAAGACGCCATGTTTGAGCCCCCGAAGGGACCTGAATTCAGTACCCCCTTCTTTTGAACCATGGAGCCCGAAACGGCCCGAAAGGACCTCCCAGACCCGTCCCAAACAGCCCCAAGAGGGCCACAAGAAGGCCCCAAGAGGGACCAAGACTGCCCCAAGCGGCTCCGCGAGAACCCCAAGAGAGCCCGATATGGCTCTAAGAGACCTCCGAGAAAACGCTTCCAAGGAGGCTGTTGCACTGTACTCTTCTACACTTCCCTGATCAAGGCAACTCGCCTGGCGATCTGTTTCTGGATGGGCTGGTGGGGATACTTTTTGGTCAGCAGCCGCGAGCGAAAGCGCAAACGGCGAGTCGAGTCAGAGCGGGCCGCGCAAAGACGAATTACCTAAAGCGGCGGGGCCTCAGGCATCACCACGGCGGGCAGTGCCGGCGGGTGGGGGTGCAGGCTGCGGCTGCCAGGGGCTGAGCCAGGGCAACGCGCAAATTTGCCAACCAGGGTTGGGGCGCGGCCAAAATGGCGCGGGCTGCGCACCTGCCATGGCGTGGGGATACTTTTTTGGTCGCGGCCGCAGGCGAAAGCGCAAGCGGCGAGTCGTAACTCCGGGGCGCGGGCCTACTAATTGACAACAGGAGCATACTAGAGCCGCGCACCTAAACTGCCTAAGCCTAAGCCGCGCCTCAAGTGAGCTGCAAGCTGCACTGAGTGTGGGTGCCAGGGCCAGGGGCAGAAAGCGCGCACACACAGCGTCCAGCGTGGGGATATTTTTGATACGCGGCCCGCAAGGAGAAGTCCAGAGGGCGGAGTGGCCGAGGCTAGGGCACAGCGACAGATAATTGGCGCGACATCGCGCAGAGTGCAACTGCAGATAATTAGCGACGCTGGACATGTGCCAGCAAAAGAGGCAACCGCGAAGGCACCAGCTGAAGCCCAGGCGCCACCACGAGGACCCCAAAAGCCGCTGAGCGCGTGCCAGCAGAAGGGGGGCGGGCGCAAACAGGTCGGACCCGCAGGTGGAGTCCCGACTGCCGGGCGGAACGTGCCAAAACCACTCACTTGCCTCCTAGGGTGTGGGCCAGTGTGTAAGCCACCGAGGGGGCCCGGGCCAATGCTTGAAGGGTGCCAGCCAACTACAAGAGAGGGCGTCCGCGATGGCCGCAGGCACCAAGGCGGTGTGGAGCCTCCGCTCCCAGAAGGCCCAACTGTGGCAGGAGCCGACGTCAGCACGAGCGTCAGGGCGGTGCCTTTGGCCGACGACCGTGTCCGCCGCGGGCCGGCAACGGGCCAACCTATGACAGCGTGGGGATACGCGAAGCGTCAAGTATTTCCCTTGAAAAGATTTGGGCTTTTCGGGGCTGTCTTGGAGACCCTTTCGATCTCTCTTCGGTCGTCCTGGGGGCCTCTGGAGACGCCGTCCAGCTAAACAATGCCGTCTTAGGGCAGTCTCGGGCGCCTCTTCGGCTGTCCCTGGGCACCGCTGGGCCGCATGTGGGGGCGAGTTTCACGGCCGGCAGCGCCGCCGGAACTGCCTCGGGGGCGCTGTTCGGCCTCCTGGGGCCTCGCGGAGGAAAAAAAGTTGACAGGTGCACAGCATCTTCTGGCACGCAGCGGATCCAGCATTGTACAAGAGAATCGGACTGAGCCGTGGACACCGTCTACACAGTCTAAACATGTTGCATGTGTTTGTGGTCATGTTGAAGCGATGACGCGGGGCCCGGCCCTCGCATTCACCCATGCTGCTGTGTGCTGCTGCTTGCTGCTGATTTGCGCGCTGTTGATAATTATTGCCGCTGCTGCGTGTTGTTGTTGTTGTTGTTGTTGTTGTTGTTGTTGTTGTTGTTGTTGTTGTTGCTTGTGGCTGAAGGGTGCTGCTGATGGCCAGCTCTGCTTGGTCCGTGCTGCTGCCCGCTGACTGCTGCTGCTTGCTGATGCTGTTTGCTGCTGCTGCTGCTGCTGCTGCTGCTGCATGCTTCGAGCTGCGTGCTGCTGCCGTTCGCTGCTGCCGCTGCTTGATGATGCAGGGTGCTGTTTCTCGCTGCGTCAGCTTGCTGGCGCAACCTGCTGCCAGGAGACTATGGCGGAGTCAAGATCGATGCGGATCGAGGAGGAGTAGGGAGCGAGAAGGGATGAGCGACAGCCGAAGAGAGAGGGGCGAGGAGGGAGGAGGGAGGGGCGAGGAGGGAGGAGGCGGAATGGGGTCAGCTGGGGCCTCGTGAGGGGAGGCGTCTCGGGATGTCTCTTGGGAGCCTCTCTGGAGTCTCTTGGAGCCTTCTTTTGCGGCCTACAGGGGGGCTTCTTTGGCTCCCAGCGGGGCCCTCCCAAGCCTTCTGGGGCGATCTGGGCGGCCCTTGGGGCCACGTGGAACTGTTTTGGGGCTGGCCTTTGGTCCCGTCTGGGGACCATCTTGGCGACCTCTGGCGCCGCCTCTGAGCCTGCTGGGCCGTCTTGACATCGGGCATCTGGGGGAAATGGGCCGTCCTGGGTGTCCCGAGGACCGAGGTGGAACTCGTCTGACAACTAGGTACAGTCAACCCGTATACACCCTGCGAAATGCTTAAGAAATCATGGGTTAAGAAATTCACAGTCTCAGAACTTGAATAAAAACCCAAAATTTCGATTCAAATCTTAGGATTTACATCGAAACATGAAGAATAATCGAGACTCTGGCCGAACATTTAAGTTTTCTTAAGCATCGCCTGAGGTGTAGTAAGGATGCGCGAGAAGGATGCGAGGGCCTCGGTCGCCCATGTCGAAGCTTGTAGAGCGGGGCGCTGCCAACGAGAGTGGTCGATGATGGACCGAGGAGGCAAGGATGCCAAGGGAACCCTTGGGAAGGCTGCCCATCCTTACCATGCGGGTCGACTGTACGCGGAACCATGTTTGTTGTTGCTCCTGGAGGCCCTCTCGGGCGTCCTCGTGGAGGCGTCTGGGGGCTTTGGGGCGATTCGGCCAAGCCCCCATTGGGACGTTCTGGGGCTATGGTTGACGTCTCTGGGGCCTTCTTGGAGGCATCTCGCGGTCCAGCGCCTGTTTTGGAACATGCTGAAGCTTTCTGGGGACCATGTCTGGCCACCTTGGAACGCCCCGGTGGGACTGGGGGGGGTGCGACGGGGCCAGCCAGGCCGATTGCGAGCCACTTGAGCGCCCAGCTTTCCCCCGCCTCAGACAAGATATAACACATTGGGCTGCAGCTTCGCCTCCCACATTATCTCGCTGAGCAGAATCACAGCCCGCTCCCACTGCTCGCCCTTCTCGCACGCGCCGATGCCAGCGCTGTAACTGAAGATGTCGGGTTCCAGCTTCGCCTCCCGCATCTCTCGGAGCAGCGCCAGAGCCCGCTGCCACTGCTCGCACTTCTCGTACGCGCTGATTCCAGCGTTGTAGCTGACTAGGGCAGACCTGTGGACTCCGTCCACGACATCAGCTCGACGTGGCGAGGGGTCTCTGGGCAAGCGCGGCGTGCCTGTCGCCTCTCGTCCGCTCCCCCGCTCCTGGAGGGAATTCTGAAGCCACTGAAGGCTTCGTGGGGGCCGTTTCGGAGCCTCTTCGGCCTTCTTTTGGGCCTCCCGGGGGGGCTCTTAGGGCCCTCTCGGGCCGTCTTGGGTGCCTCTTGGGCCGTCTTGGGGCCGTCTGAGGCCCGCCTCGGCGCCTCTTGGGCTGTCTTGGGCCGTCTTGGGCCGCTCCTGGGGCCGTCTTGGGTGCCTCTTGGGCCGTCTTGGGCGCCTCCTGGGCCGTCCTGGGGCCGTCCTGGGGCGTCTTGGGACCGTCTTGGGGCCCTCCTGGCCCGTCTTGGGGCTCTCTTGGGGTCCTCTTCGGCCGTCTTGGAGCGGTCGGGGGGACTTCTTGGGCCGTCTTGGAGCGTCGGGAAGCCGAAGAGGCGAGGAGGCTGAAAACATCGAAAAACACAACAGAAATCAACGATTTCTGTTGCTCGGGGCCCTCTTGGGAGGCCTCTTGGGAGGCCTCTTCGGGCGTCTTGGACGCCTCTTGGGCCGTCTGGGGCGAATCTCGGGCGTCTTGGGCCCATCTGTAAGCGTGCCGGGGCTCTCCGGGGCCGTCTTGGGGGCTTCTGGGGGCCCTCTCGACATGTCCTGGAGCCTGCCTGGGCGGCCCGGGGCGGCCCGGGGCCAGCCCGGGGCGGTTTTGGTGCATTGGGGCCTGCGCCATTCTGGCACGCACTGGGCCCTGCAATGTAGTAGAGACTAGGGCTGACCCGTGGACTCCGTCCACCACATCTTTCTGGAATGGTTCTTGGAGGAACGGCGCAGATTGCACCGAAAATCTACAAACACGGCGGCGGCTCGGGCGGCGGTAGCGAGACCGCGCCTTCGTGTCCGAGCTCTTGCAGCGCTCCATCAGCTTGGCCCCGGAGCACTGCTCGTTCACCCCCCTCCTATTGAGGCCAGTTTCGAAGTCTCTCGGGGATGTGCGTCGAAGTCGAAGCCCATCCGAGGCGTCTCGGGAGCGCCCGGGGAAGGGCTCGGGAGGCCATCGGGGAAAACCACCGAAAGCGCCGGGGAGGCTCGCAAGGATCTACAGGCAGGGCCCAAGAGAGCTTCAATAAAATTTGAAATCCAGTAAAATCGTGACAGAAACCACTGTTGGGTGGGCCATCACCTCCGGGCACGCCTTGATGGTGCGATCCAGTCGCATCGCCGCCAACGACAGGGTTTGTTCGCCAAGTCTCATTCTGTTCGCCCTGAGGGTCTGTGGTCCGAAGAGTGCAGAGAGGTGCCTGGGTCATATCAATTGGCTGCTGTCCCAGGGGTCCGGTCTGGTTGGCCCGAAGAGTTTGCCAAGGCCCCTGGGGGAACAGAATGGCGCAGCATATCGGGCAAAGGGGGGCGGTAGCTGGCCTGTCAGACCCGGCGTTCGTCTTCTGCCCAAGCGGCGCGGGGCCCACGGGCCCCAGGGTTGGCGGCCCGCTGGGTTTCCTCTAGTTCGCCCACAGGGTTGGAGGAGGCCTCCAGGCGAACAGAACGGGGCAGGACGATGAATGTGGGAGACTTGTCGCAAGCTCCCAGCCCCCCCAAGTGTTCGCCCGAAGGGTGTGGGGCCATGTTGGCTCCCTCAAATGGCCGTCATGGAGCCTTCTATGCCCATCTTGAGGGCGCCGTCTGCCGTGATGGGGCCGTCTTGGTTCGTCGTGGGCCCCTCATGGGCGCGTCCGTAGGCCGTCGTAGGCCAGCCTGCCTGGAACTGACGCGGGCCCTCTTGTTCGGGTCGAACTTGGGGGCCATGGCGGCAGGATCCAAGATCGAGGGGGGGCGCCGCGAAAGCAGGATGCAAGCGAGGGAGCTCGTCGAGGTGAGACAACAAGCGAAATGGGCGGCGTTGCACGGGGCTGACAAAAGGATCGTCTGGATGGTGGATGGCGCGCCCGTCGTCGTCGTCGTCGTCGTCGTCGTCGTCGTCGTCGTCGTCGTCGTCGTCGTCGTCGTCGTCGTCGTCGTCGTCGTCGTCGTCGTCGTCGTCGTTGTCGCCGTCGTCGTCGCCGCTGCCGCCGCCGTCGTAGGAGGGTGCTGAAAGGGCCCCAGATCCCCCCAGGTCCCGGGACGCGAGAACGATCCCCGGTGCGTGGGCCGTGGCGTTGCCTTGGGGGCCGATTCTCGGAGGCCGAGGTCCAGGAGGACGCGTTTTGGTCGGGGTGATCCGCGGCTTTTCCCGCAGGAGCCTGCGGGTAGTTTTTCTGTAAAAACCGGCGTGGAGATCCCTCTGGCGGCGTCTGTGGCGCGACTGGAGGGGGGGGGGCATGGCCCCCGAATCCGAGACCGAGGCCGAGGCCGAGCCCGTGCTTTGAGCCCGAGCCGAAGGCCAGGTCGGAGCCCGACCCCGAGCCCGAGCCAGTGCCCGAGCGGAGGCCCCAGCCCAGGCTCGAGCACAAGTCGAAGCTCGAGCCCAAGCCTGAGCCCGGGCCCGGGCCGGAGCACGACCCAGGCCCGAGCGCCGAGCCCGAGCCCAGGCTGAAGCTCGAGGCCGAGCCCGATCCCGAGCCCGGGCCCGAGCCCAGAGCTCGAGCCTGAGCCCGAGGCGGAGCAAATTTTCGGAGGGGGGCGTTTTGTCGTTGCTTTCAGTGTGTGGCCCCGCTGCCGGGGAGTCTTTTTGTGAAAACCTGCCCGGAGGTCCCTGCGGCGATGCCGTTTGGGCTGCCTGGCGCCAGGGCTGCCGACGGCGACGACGACGGGGACGAGGCACTTTTCCTGTCTGGCCATATGCAGGCGCTGGACCGCCGAGGAGGCGTCTTGGGACCGTCTGGAGCCCTCTTGGCCCGTCTTGAGGCCCTCTGGGCCTCGTCGGTGGTCTTGGAGCGGTCTTGGGGACCTCTTGGGCCGTCTTGGAGCGCAGGGACGGCGAGAAGGGGAGAATGCGAAAAACATAGAAAAACACGAACGGAAATCTACGATTTCTCCCGCTCGGGGCCCTGCTGGGAAGCCTCTTGGGGGGCCTCTTGGGGCATTTCGTCTTGAGGCCCTCTGGGCCTCGTCGGTGGTCTTGGAGCGGTCTTGGGGACCTCTTGGGCCGTCTTGGAGCGCAGGGACGGCGAGAAGGGGAGAATGCGAAAAACATCGAAAAACACAATGGAAAGCGGCGATTTCTCCCGCTCGGAGCCCTGCTGGGAAGCCTCTTGGGAGGCCTCTTGGGGCATTTTGGCCGCCTCTGGGGCCGACTTGGCCCAAGCTTCGGCGTCTTGGGCCCATCTTGGGGCGTCCCGGAGCCCTCTGGGGCCGTCTTGGGGGCCTCTGGAGGCCCTCTTGGCGCGTCTTGGGCCCATCTTGGAACGTCCCGGGGCCCTCTGGGGCCGTCTTGGGGGCCTCTTGGGGCCCTCTTGGCGTGTCTTGGGCCTGCTACACTTTTTGGTCCGAATCGCCCTTCTCGAACGCGCGGGCCCCTGCATTGTAGTATAGACTAGGGCTGACCCGCGGCCTTCCGGCCGCGGAATCTGCCCGCCATGGCGTGGACGTGGAAGTGGAGCGTCTCTGGGGCCTCGCGGGTAAGGGGAGGTTGGAGGGGACGGCGTGGATGGAGGAGGTGGCCGCTGGAGGTGGAGGTAGCCGAGGAGGGATACAGGCAAGCGAGTGATAATTACCTAACAGCGAAGACTGATAGGTTTCTAGTGGTCTCAAAAGAGCTCACAGATCACTCCACAGGGGGGTCCGGGCAGGTGTTGGGGAGTTGCCGGGCGGCAGGGTGCCGGGCTCGTTTTTCACCAACAGTCACACACTTCGTGCTCTTCGACTTCCCAGAACTCCATTCCCAGGCCACATTCTGAATACCCGGATGCAACAGTCACACACTTCGTGCTCTTCGAGATCCCAGAACGCCATTCCCGGGCCACATTCTGGAGGGCCGGATGCAACAGTCACACACTTCGTGCTCTTCGAGTTCCCAGAACTCCATTCCCGGGCCACATTTTGGATGCCCGGAGCCAACTGTAGGCCACTTCGTGCTCTTCGAGTTCCCAGAACCATTCCCGGGCCACATTTTGATGCCCGGAGCCACTTCGTAGTTCCATTCCAAAGGGGCCACATTTTGAATGCCCGGAGCCAACTGTAGGCCACTTCGTGCTCTTCGAGTTCCCAGAACTCCATTCCCGGGCCACATTTTGAATGCCCGTAGCCAACTGTAGGCAACTTCGTGCTCTTCGACTTCCCAGAACTCCCATTCCTGGGCCACATTTTCAGCAGGGGCAAGAGCACGACGAGGAGGAGGACGAGCAAGACCAGGAGGACGAGGACGAGCAGGAGCAGGACGAGGAGCAGGAGGAGCAGGAGAAGAAGGACGAGCAGGAGGAGGAGGAGGACGAGCAGGAGGAGGAGGACGACCAGGAGGAGGAGGACGACCAGGAAGAGGAGGAGGAGGAGGAGGAGGAGGGGAGGGGGAGGAGTACCAGGAGGAGGAGGAGGAGGAGGAGGAGGAGGAGGAGGAGGAGGAGGAGGAGGAGGAGGAGGAGGACGAGGACGAGGAGGAGGAGGAGGAGGGGGGGGGAGAGTACCAGGAGGAGGAGAACGAGGACCACCAGGAGGAGGAGGAGGAGGAGGAGGAGGAGGAGGAGGAGGAGGAGACACCAGGAGGAGGAGGACGAGCAAGACGAGGAGGACGAGAACGAGGACGACCAGGAAGAGGAGGAGGAGGAGGAGGAGGAGGGGAGGGGGAGGACTACCAGGAGGAGGAGGAGGAGGAGGAGGAGGAGGAGGAGAGGAGGAGGAGGACGAGGAGGAGGAGGAGGAGGAGGACGAGGAGGAGGAGGGGGGGGGAGAGCACCAGGAGGAGGAGAACGA